TATGCATATAATTGTTATAAGAAATGCACCTGTGAAGGTTATTATAGCTTTGGTGCAGCGTTTTTTCTTGTTTTGAAGTGCGTTAGTTCAAACGTCGTGAACGAATGAAGGAAAGCTATGTTTAGAATAACAATGCAAGTTTGCAATTTTACTACTCTTTCTTTGCATCCTTCCCATTTTTTGTTTGTGATGTAGTGCTTCGCAGTATTGTTCTGTGTAACTCTTGAATATACATATCTCTGTAATTTTCTTCGACTGTCATATTTGTTTGTTGTTGCGCGTTGGAATGGTCCGTCAAATCATGGACGGAAAGTGCTGTAATAACTTCCGTTTTTTTTTTTTACAAATTCCATTACTAATATTTTTTACAGCTCTCTTTGTATTTTTCAAAAATTCACATTGCAAACACTTAAATTAAATACGTACGGAAGGGCTAAGTTCGGATGCATTTTATACTCTTGCAACTTGTAAGAATCAAACCCGGCTAAATACCTTTAGGTGTTGGCGAAACATATTTTAAAATTTTGCGAAACAATTCAACATACATTATTCAAGGAAATCGTAAGCTGAAATTGTATTAAAATCATCTTCAAATGAGATATATGGGATTTAAACTGAACTGACGAAGCTAAATTTAATATAATGAGTTGATTGGAAAACGTAAACCAGAGGATCGCAATTCATTATTTTAGGGATGTAATACATTTTTAAGAAAACTTGTTCATTTAATTTAATTAAAGTATCACACATTGGGTCAGGTGGAAAGTCGAAAATTATTGTACAGGCTATATTGGGAACAGAGAAAGGGATGGGATAATTGAGTTAATTTTGACATTGCTGAGGTATGCTATTTTCAAATATAATATAATATATAATATAATTCACACATTGAACGACATGTTTGGCATAAAGTTTGATAAAGTAACAAAAACCAATATATGTAGTATTTCGGAGTTGAGGTAATTCGTAGACTAAATTCACATATTTTCGGCATTAAACTATATTATATCCAATATTATACGTTGAACTATAGTACAATATCTTGTATATCCAATAGTTAATTTTGCTAAGCTATCTTACATATTGACCGATGGCATAAGGCCAACTGGAAGTTTGAAAATCTTATATTTGCTATTTACCCGAGCTCCCTGAGTTTCATACCATCACCAACATATATATAGTAAAAGCAACCGGATGTTTGAAAATTCTGTGATTAGTTATATGAAGGCTAGGGGAAGTTTTCATCCGATATTACTCATTTTAGGCACAGAAATGCACCATTATAAGAAAAATACATCCAGTTAATTTTATTAAGGTAGCTCACATATTGACCGTTATATGCGGTATGAAGTAAGCCGGAAGTTCGAAAATATTTCGATAAGGAATATAGGGGCTAAGGGAGGTATTCACCCGACTCAATCCATTATTATCAGAAAGAGACTCTAAATTGCAATAATACATCTAACAGATTGACCGTTATTTCCGGTAAAAAGTAAGTAGCAGGCACTGGAGTTCCCAAGTCAAGCAGTTGGCTTACATAAAATCCCTTTGTGCCACCCTGGTTGTAAAATTTAATGTTTTGCCGCATTTAGTTATTGATTTACTGCACTTTTAGTAGTTTTTAACAAAACCATTATATGGGAAGTGAATCGCATGATTTCATCCGTTTTTAAAGGAAGTGTCAAAAGAAGAGTCAAAAGTATTTACTCTAGGCAATTTAATAGTTATATAGCTTGAATGGTTGAGGAGATATATACATTAAACTTATTGGGGGCCGGAGCCACGCCCACTTTTTACAAACTTTTCAATCATAGTTTCCCCTCTTTAATGGAATTGTTGTACTGAGTAACAGCCTTGAATCTTATTGTGGAGCTTAGTTATTCCATTTTATAAGTTTTCGATTAATGGGTTTTGTGGGCGTGGCAGTAGTCCGATTTTGCTCATCTACAATACCAAACTTAAACTTTTTATGGCGTCAAGGAGCATGTGTACCAAGTTTAATCAAGATAAAGATACTGTTAAGATTGTTAATAAATTATATTTTATATTGGTCGAATTTCCACCACAGGCAACCCTAGTATGTATTAATGTATGTACTTACAATTTTTTTTTACAAATATAACCGAGTTTTTTTAAGAATTTCAAAAATATAATTTTGAACTAATTTAACTAATGAGTCTTGTATTTAATGCCGCGAATGTGAAACAGATACATTTGGAAAAAAGCTTAGTGCTATATGTTTTGCATTCTTTGAGATGTAAAAACTTTACTGCTGTTTTCTACCAATAATAATGGAACTTAAGAACTAGCGCTTCCAAATTCGTTTTGTATAGCTGATCCATTTTGAGGTTTCCTACTTTTTTAAAGAAAATTCAAGTTTAATGGGGAATGTTTATTACTATTAATCTCTTTCAAATGTTGGCCTCGGCTACATCTCAGATGGTCCATCCGTTTAGTCCAAGTTTCGATGACTCGTTCGAGCATTTGAATGACACGCGTGATGTTTTGTTCGAAGGTTTGAATCGAAGCGAGAATGTCCGCATAGGCTGTGAATTTTACATATCCCTACAGAAAAAGTTTAACGATGTGATATCACATGATTCTGGTGTCTAATCGACCGGCCCAAAACGTGAAATTATCTGCTAACCGAAGTATTCCCTCAATAAATCCATTGATTGATGCGATATGTGGGAAGTGGCGCCGACTTGTTGAAACCACATGTCACCTAGATCCCGAGCTTCAATTTCTGGCATCAAATTGTCGGTTATCACAACGCGATAACGGTCGCCACTGATATTTAGGTTCTCATCGGCATCATTTTTGAAGACATATGGATCGATTAATTCACCGGCCCACAAACCACACCAAACCGTTGTTTGGGATCTTCTTGGAACTTTTCAAGAGCCCATAGAACGAAGCATGTCGCTTGGGAAGGTCGAGCGGCTTCAGTCCTAGCACAAGCTGTATTTTGTACGCTTTCAATTTAAGATCTCGACGTAAGTTATTCCAAGTCATTCCATACGTTAGTCCGCGTTGCTGCGAACGACGCCGAATCGACTCTCCACGGTCTTCGTGTACACTCTCAGCTACGGCCGCTATATTGTCTTCACTGCGTGCTGGACGTGGTGTTTTTGATCGAATAGTATCCAATAATGAATGCTGGATCTCAAGATGGGTGATGGTATTGCGAATAGTACGCTCAGTATGCCGATTATGGTGACCATAAGTTGAGCGAAGTGCGCGAAACACATTCTGTACAGAACGTGAATTGTCGAAATAAAGTTGTTCAATTTGTAAACTTTGTTTAAGCGTGAGTCTTTCCGTGAAATCCCAAACAACACCAACAATAACATGACAGCTTGACACTTGTATCATTCGTTACATATACATACATTTTATATATACATATATAAAATATTATTTGAAAAGTGGAGCCTTACGTGTTAATGGCTCAATTTTTAGATAACACCTAGAAATTCAGCTATTTTTATACATATGCAACCTGTTGCTACATAGTATTATAGTTTTGTTCTCCTAACGGTTGTTTGTAACACCTAAAACTAATCGAGAAAGATATAAGTTTTATATACAAGTATAAATAATCAGATGAAGAGACGATCCGGATGTCCATTTGTCCGTCCGTCCGTTCATGCTGTAACTTTTGTAAAAATTGAGATATAATGAAACTTTGTACACGTGTTCCTTGGCATCATAACAAGTTTGGTATTGTAGCTGATAAATTGCCATAACTAAGCCCAAATTAAGATACTGAAATGTAATTTCCTATAACAAATCGCAATAACGAGGGTCACCTGTGGTTTGAAAAATTTTTAAAACAGGCCGCATCCTAATAGGGTTAATGTATGGTATGTATCTCCCAAATCATTCCAGCTTATCACCAAAATTTGTACAGAACAAAGCTTTTGACACCTCTTGCGATAGCGTGAATATAGGTAAAATCTGATGATAACCACGCACTCTCCCCATGTTACGGTTTGTTAAAAACTAGTAAAAGTGTGATAAATCAATAACAAAATGCGTCAGAGACATTAAATTTCACATCCAGCATGGCACAAGAGGGTTTTATGGGAGCCAATGTCAAAATTGGACGATGGGTGTAGCACCGACCATAGTTAGGTGAAATCGCATATCTCCTTACCTATTCCAAACATTTTGGTACATAGTATTATTGGTACATAGTATTATTTTCCTGTGTTACAGTGTGAAAATGGGCGAAATCTTAGAAAAACCACGCTTATTTCATATATGACACAAATTTAAATTCCATGTGATTCTTTCACTTCCCAGTATACAAATCAAGAACCAATCAGTATATCCGGATAAAACTTTAAACGAATAACGGCTTTGAGGTGTACCACTTTATGACTAAAAATTGTTTAAATCGGACTAAAACTATTCGAGCCCCCAGATACCAGAAATACAGATCCCAAAGCCTACGGGTGACTTTTTGTCGAAAATATCGGTCAATGTGTGAGATATATAATTGAAATTCGGAGAGAATCCTTTCTTGATAATGGTTTGTCACAAATAGGTTGAATCGAGTCAATATTTCTTTAGCCCGCATTTACCTAATATAAATATTTTTGAACTCCCGGTTGACTTTATACCCCATATATCGACCAATATGTGAGTTATCTTAATAAAATTAAGTGAGCGTTTTTTTTCTCTTAACGGTACATCTCTAAGCCTAATTTGGATAATACCGAGGGAAAACTTGCCCTATCCCCCATATAACTGATATCAGGAGTTTGAAACATCCGGTTGACTTTATTCCTTATAAATTGGTGATGTCATGTAAGGTATCTTAATGAAACCCAGAGAGTATCTGTTTCTGTTAATAACATGTAGTACCTACCTCCCATATACCTAGTAAAAGATTTTCAAATTTCCGATTGACCTTATACCGTATACCATATATCGGTCAATATGTAAGATATCTTAGCAAAATTAACTCAACGTGTAATTTTGGATATATTTTAGTTTAATGTCAAAAATATCTGAAATTATATTGTACTACATATGTATAATAATTTCCGTTATTCTAACAAGCCTTATTGTATGAATGGGTAGGATATTTTTTCATCCACTTCCCTAGTACTTATTAGGAGGACTTCTGTCTTGTGCTCAGCTAGTAATAGGCTCCTTGAGGAGAACCATTGCCGCAGACTGTTTACGCATTCATTGCATTTGTTCCGGAGGTCATCTAGGTGTTTAGTGACTGCTACCACTATAAGGTCATCCGCGTATGCGATTAATTTCACGGCTTCTGGTTGATTTATTCTTAGCACCCCATCATACATCACGTTCCATAGAATGGGACCTAAACCCGAGTCTTGCGGTATCCCACTCGAAATAGAATAGCTTTTCATCAGTGTCAAATATTAGTCGTTTGTTTTCGAAATAACTTATAATAATGTTTACAAGGTATTGGGGAGCGTGCATTTTATACAGATCCTTGATTATGTTTGCCTATTTTGCCGAGTTGAAGGCATTCTTCACATGCAGGATGATCAGCGCGCAATGTTTTTTAGTCCCATCTTTCTATCTTTTTCCACTTACTGCGCATTTCGCAGTGTCAACGACATTGTTTAGTGCATCAATAGTGGACCTCTTTTTCATAAAGCCGTATTGTCTTTCTGATAATCCGCCGGCTTTCCGGATTGCTAACTCCAAGAGGTTTCTTACTATGCTTTCGTACACTTTGCCAATCATGTCAAGCATGCACAGAGGTCGATATGATGAGGCTTCCTCCGAAGTCTGATTTGGTTTGGGAAGTAGAACCAATCGCTGAACTTCCCATGGGTCGGGGAATATACATTCCTTTAAGCACGCATTGTACATTTTTGCGAACAAATTCGGTTTTAAATTCATAGCTTCTTTTAAGGCCCTGCTTGGTACGCCATCTTTACCAGGCGCTTTGCTACTTTTAATTTCTGCCGCTATAGCCAATATTTCTGCTTCACTAACAAGTAGTGGTGGCTCTACAACTTCTGTTCTTGGTTTATCATAGGAAATCAGATGGTGTTTTGGAAATAATCTTTCTACGATATTCTTAATAAAAGATGCGCTGTTGTGTCTTATTTATAAACTTTGACATGCTTATTTTATACGCCGTACCCCAGGGGTCTACGTTTGCTTCCTCACAGAGCTTTAGAAAACAGTTTCTTTTGCTGCGGGCAATGGCTGACTTTAGAAGCTTCTTTTGTGTTTTAAACTTTTCTCTGAGGATGTTTGCATTTTCCCCACATTGATTACACTGTAGACGTCGTCTAGCTAAATTAGAGAGCTTTATCAGCGTAGTTATCTCTTCATTCCACCAATAGGCTGACTTTCGTTTATTGTGTACTATTCTACGCATAGTTGCATCGCATGCTGTGGCCAGTTCTTTTCGCACTGCGGATACCAAGTGAGTGGCTTTCTCGCCTGGTGTATTTGCTGAGCCCCAAACTATCTCAAAAGGCCACCATCAAACTCCTTTTGTTTCTAGCTACGTTTTTGGCAAGTGCTCTTGCTGCAGGTTTCGGTCTCTCCGGAAAACGAAACATCAGCAATAATAGCCATGTGGTCACTATTTGTAAATATATCCGACACCGTCCACTTTATGTGCCTACTTAGAGCGTCGTTTGCAAATATTGCATCGATTATTGGGCCTTTGTTTCCTTTTTGGAAGGTATTTTGCGTTCCGCTATTCATTATCGTAAGATTCGTCTAACTCAGTTATTCTAGTAGCAGACGTCGACGATGGTTTGTGCGTCTGCAATCCCAGGCAGTTAACCACGCATTGAAGCTGCCCGCGATGATGACTGGCGATTTCCTTCTGATTTTTAGAGAAAGTTCCAGGAGGAAGTTTTCAAAATATATTATTAAGGCGCTGGGAGGAGCATACATAGCAACAAACAAAGTATATGCCAGGTATGTTTGCCCATGCGAAACAGTTATGGTCTTTGGAGCAGGATATAAAAGGTTGGCCATTATATGACCATATTGCAGCCTTGCCAGATATGTCTGTGGTCCAGGTGCTTTCCGAACGCTGGGAGTACTGCTCGCTTAGTAAGGCGACATCAATGTTTTCCTCAAATATTGTCTGTTTAAGTAGATCTTGTGCTGCAGCAGTGGTTTAAATTTAGCTGCAGTATCCTCATTTTTCTAACGACTTTATCATCTCCAAATATTTGGGACAAGTTGTACTCAATACGGAGTGTGCTCCTTTACAAAGCATGCAGCTTGGGTCATTGATGCATGACTTCGCTATATGTCCACTGGCGCCACAACGTGTGCATATGGGCGACCTGTCTACGGGGTTGCAGCATTTGCGCACCATGTGCCCCAGGTGGAAACACCTAACGCAACGGGGAATGTCTGTGTCGACGTTTTCGCGGACTCTTTCGCAAAAACTACTTAAAGTGGTCTACAATATCGCGTTGACGATGGCCGAAGATTTCCCCAAACTACGGAAGTTCCATTAACCAATTGAAGTGGCCCAATAAATATAAAAAATGTATGCTCATTAGCCATTTTTAGTTCTGGGTTGCTAAACTTTGGCGACATGTAGAGTGCCCCGAACTTTCCTCGCAACCCTATTGGTATAAGGAAGCTCTTGATTAAGACTTCTTTTAATTCTTTTAGTTGATTCGGGCGCTGTGGCAACCATTGAAACAATTTCGGATGTTCTACGCTTTCCAGATTTGTACAAACTTATACATGTTGCTTTAACAAACTGATGGCAGGTATTGCCTTCGACGAGATTTGCAACTTTGGCGCATTAACGTTTAGGGTGGCAATCTGTGAAGTCTTTCTGAAAAAATATGTTCCTTAAACTAAGCTTCTTTGTTTTTCTCAAAACGCATCTTACTCCTTGTTCGATTTTCTCCACCTTTCGGACAATTTTTTGCAGAAAATTTTCAGTTGTTCAACAATTGTATTCAAGGGTATCTTTACTATAATTGGATTTTTCTACAACGCTTGAAAAAACTAAATCGCTGTTTGCTTTTAATTTGTTCGCCGCAGCTTTTTTCCCATGATCGCTAAAAACAATTAAACATTATTAGTAGCTAGCCCAGGGCAGCTATTCTTTGACAACTTAAGCAGTGGAGTAATCATACTTTTAGGCAACTATATTCTTTTCACCAGCCAATCCCTGCTTCATAAAGTTTTTCTCTACAGAAGATGAAATTTTCTCACAATTAGATTATGCGAAGGTTAATAGCTACAAACACAAATTATTAATACAATACAAATACACAGGTCACAAAACATTTATTTTCTATTAATACAAACCTTAATATTGTAGAAACACCAAAAACTAGGAGCAAAACGTTAATTTAAAATATTATTTCGCCAATTTCAAAATGACCAAAGTATGCATGGCAGCTTTAAAAAACGCGTGGTGCTAAGTTAGCATGTGTTCGAAAGAACACATTCGCTTACTGATATCGACTTAATCGATTTCACAAATTAATATTTAGGAATTGATGCCAAATAAAATTTTACTATATTTCAACATTTCAAAACTTGTATTTCGGAAGAATGTTTTATGGAAAACTCCAAAACGAACTTTTTTATAGAGCGCTAAATTTTGCATAAGTATACAAAATTTAGTGCAAATGAACAAAAAATCCCACGTTAAACACATAGAAAAAGTAAAATGACTTAGGGACGATTTAAATTCAAAATAAAGCATTTGTTTACGTTGGATAATTTTCAAAAACTGAAACTTCAGGCATCAGCAAAAAAATATGCATAGGAAATAACGGACACCGTAATACACACATATTATATATTGTATGTTATCAAGAAACTGTTGATCACTTCAAACCACCATAGCATCCGATTTTATAATCTCGTAACTCGTTCAACGGAGAATAACTTTGTTCAACCAATAGATATTTGTATCATTTATTGAAATAATTAGATAGATAGAACAGGATTACGAGACGAATTAATTTCTGCCAATATGGAGGGTTTCCTGTAATTGTAAGCAAGCTTGTTAAATAGAATACTATATCATCGAGACACTGCTCACTTTTCGGTGAAATTTCAAACTGCTTATCTAGTTTGAACCAAATTTATAACGTTTACTTTACAACTTTACGTTATGGTATAAAAGTAGTTGAAACTTTATTTCTCTCACGCCCATTTTGCATACAATGCCATTTTGGATACCATCTGCTTATTTTCCTTTATAGTAGATCAGTCACAGTCACTAACAAAGTTCACAATCGAAATAAAGTTAGCACTAATAATAAGACCTGATACCAATTTTGCCAAATGTGTTCGTCCTTCCAATCGGCGTCAAACCATGAAAATCGCTTAATTTGTGTAATATCTTAATTAAATTGAGTCCACATGTCAACAAAATGAAATCGGTCCAGACGTTCTCTTTCGTTCTTCTGGTTGACCTTAATTATTGTGCTATCTTTTTATACTAGTTCTACACATCCAGTAATTTCCATCGATTGTAGATATGATTGCAACCGGGATAACGTATAAACTACATTTAAGAATATGGTTATCTTGATGAGATGACAAAAGCTGACGCCGCGTTTGTTTTATAATTTCAATGATTACCTAGTCTCTTTGACAGTGCGATAAATGTTATATCATTAGACTTTTAATTTAATTTAAAGGACTCCAGGCTACTTTAGAATCAGTAGGACTATTTACATATAGTGCTTCATCCAGAATCAAACAACCTATCCCAAATTTTCCCACTCTATGTATGTATGTACATAGGCAAATGAATAAAATTTACATATTAAGTTTGTAATAAATTACTGAAATAAACCCTTAATAATGTAATCCCCAAAAGCACATTATGCATATCTTAGTAGATGATTTTTGCTTCATACATATGTATGTACACAGGTATACTTAACGCGCACGTCTTGTTCACTGCGTGGTCAGAAAGCAACATTGTATAAATCTACAATTAACCAAGATTTTTACTAATACACACGCAAAAATGTCCCACTTGGTACGGGTTGCCTCGAAAATTCTACTACTAAAATCACACTTGGTACGGGTTGCCTACTTATATTGTAGTACTAAAGTCACACTTGGTACGGGTTGCCAAACAATATTCTGCTACTAAAACGTCCAAATGACACAAATCTGCTATAGTTGCCGCGTTATGTTTTAAAATTTATAACTTTAAGAATGTTTTAATTACATATTCAAATATTATATTTTTCGGTTGTTTTAATTCCTGAAGATTAAATTTACATACTATTATTTAAATTATTATTTATTGTACTGAAATATTATTAAATGTTTCCAATTTTATCAAATATATTATTGTGTAACGATGATTTAGAGTATTGTATTTTGTAAATATCATTTATTACTTAGTAGATTGTTTTGATTATTGTTATTGTTCCTGAATTGTACCTCATTTTGTATATATATTTTCGTTTTTGTTCAAATCAAGTTGAATATTTCACCTTATATTCTTAATGTTATATTGTTAATGTAATTAATATTCATGAACCTTAATTATGTACCTCATTTTATTTATGTATCTTTTCGTGTCATAATTGTTATGAAAAGTAGATTGTTTTATAATTGTATATACTATATAGGTGAATTTAGGCCTCCTGGGGAACCGAACACCTCAGAAGTGGTGAGGAAAAGCAATAAATATTATATATAATAATCTTTTGTTTCGAGAATATTCTTGAAAGTTTTCATTAATATTCTCCATTACAAATGCATGTTCACAATCAAGTTGTTAAACTACAATACATTCTTTTTATTTGCTTCCCAGTGTCAAAAAAATGCAGATTCGATCAGGTGATCACGGCTTACTTGTAGGCTTATACAATGGAAAGCAACTGGCACTGTCATCGTTTCTACGGTAAATTAGCCATCGTTGCTGTTTGGTCCGATTGTATCTAAATCGGTTGTTTCGTTTGCCTACTGTAGTAAGGTTACTCGTGATCGATAAAAATACCATTCAAAAAGTTTATTTTTATAAATTTGTCGACTTAAGCCTGATCTCTAAACAATGACTTTGGAAGAACAAATACATAATAGGAGCCAGGCAGAGAAGATACATAAATTCGATACAACTCGTGTACAGGTCGTCGTCGGTATGGTTTTGAATTCTCGATGAGTAGGTATTGTATGAATTTTAACCCACGTACTTACATCTGTGGTGGAACAACGATGTTATTTGCCATTGGAGTGATTGCCGCCAACCATTATAGACACGTTAAATTCCTATTGAACTCTTGTTTGAATAATTACGCAGTCATTGCTTTTGTAAAGTGTCAATTAGTCCCAAATAACTAAAGGCAGTTAAACACACTTTTCTATTATTACATACAGTAAACCAAACAAAAACTTGTACAGGGAGATGTTTTGATTTTGAAGTGATTTATCTCCTACACTATTAAAACTTTAGAGTTGCATACAAAAGTGAGAAAAAATCAAAATCTAAAATTTTTGAAGACCAAAAAACTTGTACAGTCTGCATTAATTGACATTACAACACTCTTTAAGAATAATTAATACTTTGGTCTCTATTATATCACCAAACTATTATCACCAAATTTTGTATAAGTTCAAAAAGTATATGTGTCCCTAAGTGCAGCCTTAATCTCATATTTGATTTTAACTTTGAGCTCTTGTAACTTTATCTCCATATAGGCCCACAGGTGTTTAATGGGATAGAGATCTGGACTCTGGAGAGAATGCGGCTGCACCAATTATTCCTGCACAGCCCCTATTCCTTAACCATTAAAGCAGAATGCTTGGGTCGCTATCCTGAACAAAGCTGTAACCACTATTTAAATTGAGTTTAGCTGCTGACGGAGCCAATTTAATTTTTAATATTGCAAACTAGTTAATTTTTTTCATAATTACTTCGTTGAAAACAATGTTACCGACGCCATTTGCTTCCATTGCATCCTATTTGCTCCTATAGCACCTCAACATAATGCGACCTCCACCATGATTGACAGTATTATTTAAATTTTTATATTTCTGCGCTTAGACTTCATTACGCCATACAAATCGACGACCACCAGATCCAAATAAATTAAATTAAGATTAATCTGTAAAAAATTACAGAATCCCGAAATTCATTTTCCCAGTGCATACCAATATAGTTAACATTTCGCAACATTTCTCTTCGATAAGCGTGGCTTGTTTCGTGGTGTTTTAGTTCTAAAATTGAGTGAAGCCAAGAAGTTCCAAACAATTTGAGGGTAGACTTTCGCAATGCCAGCTTCCTCCAACTCCTTGGCATTTGCGACAGCGGCTATTTTGGTATGTTCCTTGACACTTCGAGCAGCTTTAATTTCAGTCAGGTGCGTGCAAATTTTTGTGGGGGTTCCACTACCATCAAGTCTTCCAACTCCACCAATCTTTTTGAGTTTAGCAATTATGTGCTGAACAGTAGTTTGAAGTTTTTTGACAGTATCGCCTATTTCGCGACTAATTTGGTTCTCTTGCCATTATTTGATTACTAGAGCTTGTAAATCTTGAGATGTTTGTTGTCTTCGAAAACTATAACCGCACAAAATAAATTCGCTTACCAAAAAATACAGTTTGATCATACGAAAATAATAGCAGACAAAAAACCCGGTAGCTACTAGATGACTGCATTTAAAGTGTTGCCAACGTAAGTGTACAAGCTTTTTTTGGCCCCTCAAAAGTGAGATATTTTAATTTATTGAAATGGTTAATATCAAATATAAAAATTAAAAATTCAGAAGTATTTCGAATTATCGAATATCCGTTTAACAAAAACCGCTAAAACGAACAACAATTTTTTTACATTGAATAACTTATTAAGCGTGTAAAAGCAGGGTAATTTTGTTAAAGAGTATGATCTTCCTATTTCGTCATCCAAGATGAGGATACTTTGGCAATGAGGAATGGAATTAAATTCTTAAGTTCGGCTTTTCCAAATGTAAATAATGTTTAATTATATGTGTTGCGTCAAGTGACTTCATGAATACTAACTTAAATATTAAATTAATTTAAAATATAAAATGAATTATTAAAATATTGTAATTGAATTATAAATTTTTTTGTTATAAAAAAGCACTTACTTTAACAACCCTATGTAAAATACTCACCTTAATCTATTTCAATAATTAATGGAAGTTCGAAATGTAATCATATGATACTTACCCCTTTTTGTACATATTTACATTACCACTAGTTTAAGCCGTTAGCTTAAGTTTAGGCTAAGCGATTCTAAGAAACGGAATAAAGATTGAGTTGTA